CTGTGTTAGTGTCATGATCAGCATACTGAGGAACAATCCCAAGGGGACTTCTGTGACCTCATCCCGTCAGAGCCCTCTGGCAGAAGTGCTGGGTTAAACAGCATTAATGAGCACACAGAGATCCTGAAACCTGAAGGATCCCCCATTATACTGAGGAAGTTGCTCCTCCCCAGTCCAATTTCTTCCTGTGCTGCATTACTTCCTTTACTCATGCATTTCCTCCTCTTCTTTCCCCATCATCATGTCCTGGGGGAAAGAGCCCTCCCCTCTAGATTGCTGAGCAGAGTTATGAAACAAAGCAGGACTTCAACTTTCGCTCCACCCAACCAAAAACTTTACTCCAGGGTTTACGCCCGACCCAATGCATGCTAGATGAGGTGTTGGGAATTGTAATTAATGTGGTGTAGATGCCAGTGCAGTGTGAACACGTGGCTCAATCTTGCATGCCATGGCTCCACAAGTAGTCCAGATGAAGTCAGGCAAGCAGGATCCAGTCCCTGTTGAGTATATTTACTTTGACTCCAAGTCACAGTGCACGAATTCACCCACTAACTTGGAGTGCAACTGTCACCAGTATATTTTCCTGCTCACTCCTGTTTCCAGAAACAGTATTGGAGGGGCCAGGTTTTTCACAGTCAGACAGACAAGCCTTCTAAACATTTAATAAACTTCTACACTTGGAATACAGGGCATATTTATTATTTGAACTTTTTCATTGAGGACCCACCCTCTCTCTAAAGGGATGTAACTGGTCCATATTCAAACAGCAACAGAACTGGACACTGCTTGTAGACCGTGTTCCTTTTTTGGTGGTATTACACAAAGCAGCACTTTCATTTCACTTCACCATCCTTCATCCCTTCCTCCTCTTCTCTCTGCGTGGGATCCCTCAGCTTTAATCTTGCACCACTCCTTCTGTCTTTAAGCTGAAAATCCAATAACATACATTTGTCAGAAAATTCAGTTAAACCATGCTCTTGAGAATTCCAACTTTTCCCCGTTCAGGTCCCAAATCATGATAGCACCAAGCATGTCCTAAAATCCCACTGATTTCTAGGATATGTAAACACATGCTTACGTAGGTGTCAAAGAGAACATGTGTCAAAGAGCCCATCCTGAATATTTGTCTCTACAGGGGCCCAAGGTAATAGATGATATCCTATAGAGGGGACATGTGTGCTGAATGGCTTGTTGGGGACAGACAAGGAGAGTGTCAGAGTGAGGTGAGCCCAGGGGTCAGTAACCAGGTCAGAGACTGAGGATGAGAACATGTATTAAGCACCAAAAGCCTGCGGGGTGCTGAGCCCTGGCAAATCAGGTCTCCTAGCTCCTTGAAAAATTGCCTCCACGGATTTAAAAGTCAGGCTAAAAAACAGTTTTTTCACCCTCAGTGAGCTCACCAATAGCACAAAGGATTTTGCAGAAATTTAAAATAAAAATTCACCTTGGGGCAAATACCAGGTATGGGTATTTTCTGATCCCAAAACATGAATGTTTCAGGACATGAGAACGGAGATGGCTGCAATGGAAAGTACTTTGCAATCGATGTGATTAAATGACTGAACAAGTTGAAAGCTCTTACGAAAAAAAGGGGAACAAGATGGAAAAGGAAGGGAAATCCCAAGCAGCAATTTTAGTGAACTTCAAACTCTCTCAACCCTCCCCTGGCTTGAGGCTAAGCATGAACATATTCATTTCAGCTAAGGTACATTCACAAGGCAAAGTTGAAAGACTAGATTTATTCTTAATTATGGAGCAGCCATGCCCTTCCTACCCCATATAACTGGACACTGGCCAGACAATGAGTCTGTGAGCCTATGACTATTTTAAAAAGGCAGTAAAGGGGCACTATATATATCAGTGGTCTCCAACCTTTCTAAGTGCAAGATCACTTTTTGAATTTAAGTGCAATGTAATATCTACCTCAAACCCAAATACCCTGGCCCCTTCATGCCCCTTCTCCAAGGCCTTGCCCCTGCACACTCTGTCCTCTCTTCCTCCCTCCCCCATTCTCCCTTCCTTTCACTAGGCAGGGGCAGAGTGTTGGGGCTCATGCTCTGGTCTCGGGCTAAGGTATTTGGAGTGTATGGAGGCTCTGAGCTGAGCCTGGGGCAGGGAATTGGGATGTGTATGTGGGTGGGTGTGAGGGGGGGTTCAGGCTCTCTAAAGGAGTTTAGTTCCGGGGGGCTCAAGGCTAGGACAGGGACTTCGGGTACAGGAGGGGGTTCTTGACTGGGGCAGGGGTTCGGAGCTGGCTCCAGCTGGACACTGCTTACCTCAGGTGGCTCTTGGGTGGTGGTGCAGTGGGGCTAAGGCAGGCTCGGCCCTGCACTCCTTTCAAAAGCTGCCAGCAAACTCCCTCCATCCCAAGCCCTGTTGTGCCGCGCCTCCCCCACCCTTTCCCCACCCCCCATTCTGTGAAGACAGAATACAGGGTAGAAGAGGGGGCACCCTGACATCAGTGCCACCTCCTCGCTCTTTCCTGCTCTGTACCGCAAGCAGGAGGCTCCCAGGAGAACGGGGAGCTCCAAGACAAAGGGCAGGAGAGCCACAGCAGTGTGGGGAGGGGCAGCTGAAGTGCTGCACTTTGTAGCTCTTGGCCATACCAGTCGGGATCCCCTGTCAGAGGCTCCATGATCTACCAGTGGATCCCGATATACTGGTTGGTGACCACTGATATACATTCACTTGATATTCATGCAAGCTGGACACCCATGTTGCTGTGATTGCTACCTCTGCTGCTGCTGACTGCAGCACCTTGGCTACTTCTGCGTTTGCCACCCTCTCTGCTACTTTGGCTATTAACTTCAGATCAGCTTGCATTTTCACTGCTGCTCCTCTTCTTCCTGGTGCTTCCGCCACTGCTGCTGCTGCAGCTGCTCCTTCTTGTGCTTCCACCACTGCTGCTGCAACTGCAGCTCCTACTGGAGCTTCCCTGGCCACTGCTGCAGCAGCCCCTTCTGGTATTTCTGCTGCTCCTGTAGCAATGATTCCTTCTGGTGCTTCCACCACCACTGCTGCAACTGCTGATCCCTCCGAAGCTTCCACTCCTGCTGCTGGTGCTTCCACTGCCGTGGCAGCCCCTTCTGACGCTTCCACTGTCACTGCTGCAGTGACTCCTTCTGGTGTTTCTGCCACGGCTGCTGCAACTGCTGCTCCCTCTGGAGTTTCCACTTCCACTGCTTCAGCAGCTCCTTCTGGTACCTTCACCACTGCTCTCCTTCTGATGCTCCCACCACTGCAGCTGCAGCAGCTCCTTCTGGTGCTGCCATGGTCACTGCTGCTGTGACTCCTTCAGATTTTTCCATCACTGCTGCTACAACCGCTGTTCCTTCTGCCCCTGCTGATACTTCCACTGTTGCTTCAGCAGTGGTTCCTTCTGGTGCTTCTACCACTGCTGTTTCCATATCTGCTGCAGCAGGTGGTGGTGCTGTTGTCTGCAGTGTAACTGAGCAACTATTCAGCAAAATGCACCTCCCAGAACACAGTGCAGGCCTGCAGAATCTGAAGAATAGCCCTGATCCTTTTGACAAAACATGCAATAAATAAATAAATAAATAAAATCACATAACTACCTTCAAAAACATTGCCTCACAGTATAACAAACAGACGAGCAGTGTGGAACCCTGGAACCAGATTAGCTGAAGGACTGTTTTTCAGCATCCAGTCCCTTCTGCACAGGAACTAAGGAAGCTCCTAAGCCTGCCAGCCTGAGGGGCAAGACTCTGAGGTGTAGAGTTCACATAACTCAGCCGCCATACTCAGATTCCAGTATTACTGCTATCCAGATCAGAGTCGCTTAGGATTTGGGACCTGATCTAAGTTCAGTGGCACAGCCATTTACCAGCTTTTTCAGTATTTGTGAGAGTGAGTGTGTGTGTGTGCGCGCGCGTGCAATCAAGTATGAGACCTGGGAACATACAAATTGAAACGTGTGCTTTTCCCAGACTACCCTATGGGCAGGAAAAGTTAGGCACAAGTCAAGGAGTTATTGTATTATCTTCGCCCAAAATTTCTGCCGTGCACCTCAGTTCTGGCCCAAAACACCCCTTGCTGTTCCAGTACGGGGCTCCCAACATAGTTCTGCCAATGCAGTCCAGAAGGATACTTTTAAAATAATGCTGCTATTGAACTATGCCTTGGACTAGGATATTCCTTCTGGTGGCATTGGAAAATCATCAGCCCATATGGAAGGGGTTTTGACAATCAAACAACATTATTTTTGGTAAAAATTTGTAACAGTGTAATACACATAACTGACACTGGCAGACATGATTAGGCAGTTCCTGTCTCAAGTTTACCTTCTCTTCTTCAGGTTTCTTTTCAGAGGCTGTATTAAAACTGTTGCATCTGACCTATTGGAAAGATCAGGCATTATGTTATCCAATCCATATAAAACATACTTATTTTTAATTACAGTATAAATACCTTGTATCTAAAACAACACACTCTGAAAATATAATTTCTGTGAGGATACTGCAATCTAGCTGCCAGTTACAGGAGCTGGTTTCTGAAATTCTGTTGACAGTCCTTTCCAGGAATGCTAAAACCAGGACATAGGGAGGACCTGTGCAATGATGCTAGACGGCCCAAAGTGTTTTTAGTTAATATGCAAGTTAAAGAGTAAGATGGATCTATCAAAGCAAAGGGATCTGTGATCTATCAAAGCAATACATATATAGGGCTCCTGGGTCCTATTCCTCACTTGGCCACAGACTCACTGTACGACCTTGGACAAATCACGTCTCTTCAGGCCTCAGTTTCCCCATCTGTAAAATAGAAATAATGATACAGGGCTAAATTCATTAATGTTCACAAAACCCTTTGAAATACTGGCATGAAAAAGTGGTCCAAAAGCAAAGGATTATTATTTTCTCAAGGTGTATTTTTCTATCACAGCATAGAGTGTATATATTTGTTCTAAAAAGCAAATGATAAGTGTTTGGTTGCAAAATTGTATGTAAATTGCTTTGTCAAAGAATAAGTGTCTTACAGGGATCATCTTAAGGGAAAAATCCAGCAAACAGGGTAGAAAAATATGAGGTTTTCCATTTGTGAAATGGTGGTAGCAGACCACTCCTTTAGTTGTATTACCAGGCTCAGAGAACTGGAACTCAAATTCAAGCAGAGACTTTTTACTGGGACCCCCAAGCTAACAACTCCAACACTTGGAAAAACTGGTCAGGGGGGTGATTTTATGTGTCATTCAACAAGGTGATAGTGGGGATGGACACAACAGTCACTCCCAATGAGTAGCCCAATCAGAATCAGCAGACATTCTGAGAGACTGTGGGATTTGCAATGTGAGCACACTCCGGACACTGCAGAAAGGACAGTGCTGGCTAGTCCCAGTCCAGGTACACTTCACATATTGCTACACAGGAAGTCTTGCAGCATTTTGCGTTATGAAATGGTGATGACATGATCATTCAGTGCCATTTAGTGGAGTGAACTAGAGAAGAAAACAAAAATAAGGCTAAAGATGCCATGAAAGAAAGGGGGTGGGGAGCTAAATGCCAGGTGTTGAAGAAGAAAATAGAGACGGTGAAAAGCATAAGAAAGAAAAAACAGGAACAGGAGAAGATAGAGAGATGGAGAAAGATTTAAGGTAACAGAAGAGAAAGGGAGAGAACAAGCAGGAGAAGAGAAGGAGGAAATCACCAGACCGTTGCTCAAGGAGGAAACAGCCATGCTTAGATTATGTGTATGCTGCAATACAATATATGATTGCAACTGGGGAGACCATCCTTGTATTAGCTTTATCCTTGTATTTGATAAGAATAGCAGTGTGGATACCGCAGTGCGGATACCGCAGTGCAGGTTTCAGCAAATTAGCTTTATCCTTGTATTTGATAAGAATAGCAGCGTGGATACCGCAGTGCAGGTTTCAGCAGTGCAAGTAGGTATCCACGTTCCGGGCTGACTGGTAAAATACATGCTGCCACATCTTCATTGCTATATTTAAGAAATGCCAGTGCAGATAGAGCTAGGCAGGGATATCTACGCAAACTGCAGGCACAGCTTGGCCTGCAGCATACTCATGCTCTGTGCTGTACTCGAGACCTGGTAGGAGATGTAAAGGCAAATGCTGCCTGAACGAATCCTGCTGGATGCATGTAGGTGACTCGCCTAGATGTAACTGCTGCATTAACAACCTACCTAAATATCTACTTCATTAAATAGTAGCCCTGTAGGTCTGCTGACAAGAACCCATTTCTCTCCCCTTTGGTAATTACCCCAGAAGACTGTCATGCTCACTGGCCAAGAAACATGCAACAAGCAGCCTTTCGTGCTTTGTCCCTAGCTGTTCACATGCAGCAGGTAAAGGAAGGCTGATGTCTACCTGACACACCCACCCCCAGCCACATTCACACTTTCCCATTGCCAAGACTTTTCTGGGTGGGGTAAATATAAACTCAAGAGAAAGACAGAAGGAGCTGGAAATGGCCCACGGCACCTCCCCCACTGCCCACAGAAAAGTAGGGTAGGTACCGACTGTGACAATTCACAGTTGGTAAGGTTGGTTTAACTGTGATTCAATGTTTGGAAGGAAGGAGGAGATAGCTGGGCTCTACAAACATAAGGAAAGGAAATATGGCCTTGAGACTAAGGGCCTGGTCTAAGATTCAGGACACAGGCTTCCCATGCACCTATGGGGGAAATCTTTTAATCTATACCTGTTTCCTACCTGTAAAATTAATAATGGGTATGTTTACACTGCAATTAAAAACTCATGGCTAGTCTGTGCCAGCCAACTTGGGCATGAGGGGCTTTGGTGAAGAGACTATCAACCTGCAATATGATCTAGAGCCCTGTAGTAGAATTGGGATCCCGTGGGTCCCAGAGGACCAACTAACATAATAATTTGTTAAGTGGTAACAGTGTACTGTACTATGTAATAACTGTGTAATGTACTTCATTGTGGGCAGGATAGGGTGGCCAAACCCAGACTTCAGTAATTTGTGAGAAAACACTTAAATCTCTCATCCATTTGTCATACATAGAATTTCGGCAATGTGAAGCACATTTTTCTTGTTTTTTAATAAAGGTTTTAATACTAAAATTTAAAAGAAGGATTGAAATAGATTTGATGGCCATTGCAACAGGAGTTGAAGTATTTTTACATGATATAAGCAAGAGTTATTTTATTTTTTTAGTGATAACAATTATGTCTAAATTAGGGTTTTTGTTTATTTGCTTTGGGAGCAATCTGTCTCTCTTATGGGATTTGCAGGAGTTAAGGTTTTTGCATGTGGAAGCAGGATTAAAATGCAAGAAGCATTACAGGTGGGTGGGAATGGGTACTGCAGGGTGAGACAGCATCAGGATTAAAAACATAGTCCCATGCAGGGCTCTAGAGCAAATGTTTGGATTGGGCTAGAGCTTGAGCTCTAGGATCCCATGAGGTGGGAGGGTCCCATAGCTTGGACTGGAGCCCAACTGCCTACATGGCATTAAATAGTCCCACAGCCCAAGCCCTGTAAGCCTGAGTCAGCTGGCATGGGCCGGAATCGGATTACATTGTTCTGGCCATATTAAAAAGCCTTACGACTATTTCATTGAAACTCTCTAGTGCCTTGATACTAGAAGAAGGGACTTGTAATTTGGCAGTGCTGGGAAGTCAGGGTTGTGTCTTTTGCTGTCCTTGTGAAATTCATCCACATTTGGCCAAGTTATAAACTACTGAAAAATCAGAGTTCAAACATACTCACTGAAGAGCTGAGTTTGGCAGCTAAATTCTCTTAACTTCCCAACCTTAATGCTCTTTTATTATACGTTTTAAAATGCAATGTATAAAAACAATAACTAGTAACCTTTAGTGACATCGAACCCTGTCCCACGTTTCCTTTCTTGGTTTAGAGACAAACAAGCCCTAGATAACAACAAGCTATCCTGTGGCATCTTAGGGTACATCTACACAGCCACATTATTTTGAAATAAATAGCATTATTTCAAAACAACTTAGTCTGTGTCTACGCAGCAGGCAGTTATTTTGAAATACTTTTGAAGTACTGTCAAGCTGGAGGACTTCTTACTCCAACTCCTGTAACCCTCATTGTATGAGGAGTAAGGGAAGCCAGAGGAAGAGTGCTCTATTTCGAAATAAGTGCTGTGTAGACACTCCCAATTTCAAAATAAGCTACACAATTGACGTAGCTCAATTTGTATAGCTTATTTTGAGTTAAGCCCTGCTGTGTAGATGCACCTTTAGACACTAATGCTTTCATGGGTAAAACCCACTTTATCAGATGAGTAAGCCTTAGAAAAATGGCATGTTATGACATACATTCAGCTATTGCACGGCAAACTATGCTGATGGGGTTCATTCATTTACAAAATTGGTTGTTGGTCAGGAAACACAAGGAGATTCATGCAGTTGCAAAGCATAGTTGGTTACATAAGAACGTCCATACTGGCTCAGACCAATGGTCCATCTAGCCCAGTATCCTGTCTTCTGACAGTGGCCAATGTTAGGTGTCCCCAGAGGGAATGATCAGAACAGGTATTCATCAAGCAATCTGACCCTTGTTACCCATTCCCAGCCTTTAACAAAACAGAGGTTAGGGACACTGTTCCTACCAATCTTGGTTAATAGCCATTGATGGATCTATCCTCCTTGAACTTATCTCATTCTTTTTTGGACCCTGTTAAAGCCCTGTTCTTCACAACATCCTCTGGCTAGGAGTTCCATAGGTTGACTATGTACTGTGTGAAGAAATACTTCCTTTTGTTTGTTTTAAACCTGCTACCTATTCATTTCATTTGGTGACCTTTCAGTTCTTTTGTTATGGAAACAGGTAAATAACTTTTCCTTCTCCACTTTCTCTACACTAGTCACGATTTTATAGACCTCTATTATATCCCCCCTTTTCTAAGATGAAAAGTCCCAAACCTTTTAATCTCTCTTCATATGGCAGCCATTCCAAACCACTAATAATTTTTGTTGCCTGTTTCTGAACTTTTTCCAGAGCTAAGATATCTTTTTTGAAATTAGGTGATCACATCTGTACACAATTCAAACAATCCTGGGCCACATGAATGAAACACCTAAGATTCAGCAAACAAACATCCTTCCTGCCCCAGATTCCCATGAAATTCCAGATGAAGAGAAGAGTCGTCCATATGTCCCAGGCAGAGCTCCACTAGGATTGGTGTCATTCCTTCTCTAGCATCTGGCCCCTGCAGCTAGTCACAACAGTGTAGGACTTAAACAGTGTAGAAAGCAGAGCAAGATAGGAGAAATACAGCAGAGTTGGCAAATTAGCACTAGAGCTACTCTGAGACCGGAGAAATGTTGACCCATCAGACATTCTCTTCTACATTCATGTCAAAGCTGTTATTACCCAACTCAATCACAGAGCTTAGGTCATTAAA